AAGGAGCCCTCAGCCAGGCGGGTGACTTACATCTGTAATCTCAGCTACTAAGGAGACTGAGGTGGGAGGATCACACGAGGTCAGGAGGTCAAGACCAGCCTGGCCAATAAAACAAGACCCATTTCTATATATTAATTTTTTAAAAAGCAGAGAGAAGGAGTCCTGTTTCTGACCCCAGAGTCCATCTTTAAGTTCAAGTCACCATCCTGATTCCAGGTCCCTCCAGGGAAACAAGCCCTCTCTATCAAACGGCTCCTAATTCAGAAATTGCCCACATTTCCCCCAGGGAGCAAGTCTGCATAACAAGGGGATGAAATAGTTTTTGCTAAGCAACATGGACACGTGCACACACAGTTATGCACACTCATACACACATAGTCATTTACCATTGCCTTCTCCTGGAGCAGTGGGTACCATTTACATAGTTAATAAGACCACTCCAGTAACCCGATAAAACAAAAAGAATTAGATTCTGCCCTAGATACTTGGGATGCTGAGGTGGGAGAATCACTTGAGCCCTGGAGGTTGAGGTTGCAGTAAGCTGAGATTACATCACTCTACTCCAGCTTGGGTGAGAGAGCAAGATCCTGTCTCAACAAGAAAATTAGATTCTCTTCATAACAAAATGATGACAAAAGCCATTGAACTCCCCATCTTAAATTCCTACTAATATTTTATCATTTGACTGTTGTAGCCACAGTGCGTACTCACTGAGAGTAGCTCAGTTTAATTTGGGGAGGAAATACTAGGCACCATCCGAGGTTGACAGAGCTGTGATATGGGTCTCATAGAGCCTCTCCTCCAATACGCAGATTTTAATGAGAAGAGCAGAGGATTATGAATTGAACTTACAGGGAACACCCTCTTCTTCTCCTGACTCTTTAAATGCCTCTCTTCAGTGCCTACACATTCCACATCTCCCCTCAACCTAGTCTGGAATGTTGGAGGAGGCCTGAGGACTTCCCAGTACTAAGGAGGACAAGGTATAGCAGACAAGCAAAAAAGGACAGGGCAGCAGACCCCTTAGTCTTGCTCTCATCTGAGCCCTTGGTAGGTTTCTGAGCCTCCCTACCACCCAATCCCTCCAGGGATGTAGAGCAAAAGTCCAGTATTAAAGAGCAAAGTCACCATTGCCCTCTCATGTCTTCTGGGAGCCAGGGCATTAGCTGGCATTGGTTTATATAGCACAGTCTCTGATCCTGATAGGACATAATTAATCATCACCAACTATGAGTACCAGTATGACATACCTTGTTTCATTTTTATATAAATAATTCACTGAAAACAAATGCCCCAGTGTCATGATATAGCCCAGGGATCTTACTTCTTCCACTTTCTCTCCAAGTTGAACTAGCTCATTTATGAACTTTTTCATTGGACTTTTTTTGTTTCTCTTCCGAGTTGCAAACTTTGCACATTAATTGGCACTCACTCAGTATAACCACCTCTAACACCTTTGCCTTTTCTGTCCCAAACTTCAAAGTCTGTCTCCCTGGCTGGTGTTATAGCCACATTCTGAGAATTGCCAGTCTGTACCTTCTCTATCCTCCACGCAATTGTCTGAAATCATTTACTTGCTATCTCTATTATGGAAAATGCCATTATGGAAAATGCCTGCTTATCATGCATATATGATTTCCCTTTCTGCAGGTCTATGAAGCTTCTGTACTAAACTGAATTTCTTTTTACTGCTTTCCTTCTATTCTGGCTTTACCTACAGAATCGGACTGTTCGTTACTAAAATGCCTAATCACATTTAGACCAAATGATCTAATTGCATAAATTTTCTTGTGATCTGGAGTTACTGGCACTGAAACCCATTTCCTAGCAAACCTATTATAACTCCCAGGCTGCTTCCAAATTCTGTGTGTTGGCTGAGGGTTCCTTTTTTCAAACTATAACAAGCAAACCTGAGAATTTTTACAATTTAAGATAAATCAGCAATTGTTTTTCTTCCTTTTGTCACCTTCATTTTTCAGCAAAAAGAAAGACATACTGTATATAACAAGACTAAAATGAAAAATTTAGCATATACAGTGGAAGAAGCATTCTACTTAATGTTATTTAATCCTCAGAATAACTGGGCTGGTTTTTTATTATTTCCTTTTGCTGAGAAAGTTGAGACTCAGAGAAGCGAAATAACTTGCTCAAGATTAACCAGCTCAGGGGACAGACCAATGCTATTCTATACCTACCATTGCCAATAATGCCTTGCCTCTCAGAAGACACTCTAGGATGGCACATTTACCCTTTAATACTAGCCAGGGCTTTGGCTCCACACCTCTGAAGACACTGATTAACCAGTAGAATGATGTTTGAAATTCTGCCCCACTCTTTTTCAGTAAAAGAAAAAAAACCTTTTTTATTCTTGTGTCAGTTTACTGAGAACAATGGTTTCCAGCTTTATACATGTCCTTGCAAAGGACATGAGCACAGCTTTTTTATGGCTACATAGTATTCCATGGAGAGAGGAATATGTGCCACATTTTCTTTATCCAGTCTATCACATGGACACAGGGAGGGGAACATCACACACTGGCGCCTGTTGGGTGGTGAAGGGTTAGGAGAGGGATAGCAGGGTTTGGGGAGATAGGGGAGGGATAGCATTAGGAGAAATACCTAATGTAGATGACGGGGTGTGGGATGCAGCAAACCACCATGGCACTTGTGTACCTATATAACAAACCTGCATGTTCTGCATATGAACCCCAGAACTTAAAAAGAAAAAGAAGGGAATTATTAAACCTTCATTATGAAAAGAGATGAAGCCAAGTGTATTTGTTAGTTACAACTAGGAGGACCTAGTCGTGCGTTGTGTCTTTATGTATGTAACCATCATCACCAGCACCTTGTGTATAATAAGCACCAGATGGCATGTGCCTATTATGCTGGAGAAATGCACAGCCGTGGGCTTTATTATGACATACAGACTGCAGCTATATTTAAAATCATAATCTGGGCAATGTTCTTCACATTTTATTTGTGTGAACTCAACCACGATGAAGTAATTGTTATCTGGTAAACTGTGCTTGTTGTTAGGAATGCATTCCTGAGTGTCCTGACAAGGAAATTAGACGAGCTGTGCATACTTCCATTCATTCTTGAAGCCGTTACTGAGCATTCACTGTGTACCAAGTGCTGTCCTTGACAAGAAGACCTACACCCAGTGGTCCCACAGGGAGACTTAGGAAATGGGAGCACCTGTCAGTTCATCATGTGAATCCTTCCCTCCAATTCCATCTCTCTACACCCTCCTGCCAACCTTCTGGGATTCCCCCTTCCTATCTCACTCTTATATAGACACATTCTTCATGCGAATATTCATTCAGATAAAGAAGACTCATGACTGAGAGGGTTTTGATGACTGGTGAGAGAGTCTCATTGCCCCAGTCCGCTAAGAACACTGGTAAAGTGTTGCAATGTTGTTTTGTGGAAGCCATCTTTGTTTATGATGGTTGGCTTTAACACTTCAGAATAAAATAAGAGCAGTGTCCTTGCCACTTTGTTTTATGTTTGCAGATGAAGAACAGTAGGCTTGGCTTTTTTGCTGAGATTCGTCTAACTAAGAGAAGCCATTTCTGTTCAAAATTAATTTTGTTAGTATTTTATAAGTTAAAGGCAGCCCAAATTTATTGAGCCTAGCAATAAATGCAGCAAAAAAAAATTTTTTTTTGAGGTATAAAAATCTGTATTTATATTACAATGACATAAGGACACAGCGTGGCCCACAAGGTGGACAGCTGGGCGGGGGCCCCTTTCCGTCTCCAGAACACGCCCCCTCACTGGCACCAGGCCCTCGTGTGGCCCCAAACTCTGGCACGGAACCTGTCCTAGTGCCCGACGTGGTGTACTAGCCTAGCAGTGTACTAGGCACTGGGGAAATATAAAATAAGGAACTTGTGCATAAGAAATGGGAAAAACATAAGAAGAAACAACAATAATTTCTAATCTTCTTTGTTTCATTTTAATGTACTGCTGTCCAGTAGGGTAGTCACAAGTCACATATGGCTAATGAGCACTTGAAATGTAACGGGTCCAAATTGGGATGTGTGGTGAAATAGCAGTGTGAAATAGATCATGAATAAATTTTTATGTTGATTGCATGCTGAAATAATATTTTGAATATTTTCAGTTGAATATCTTATTACATTTAATTTTACCTGTTTCTTTTTACTTCTTAAAATGTGACTAATAGAAAAATAAAATGACATATGTGACACATATTATATTTTTGTTAGAAAGTGTCCTTGTAATATTTCTGCCAGTCATTGGGGCTTATATAGTGTATAGTGATTTATAATATTATTTTTTGCATTTGAAATTATTTCATTAAGTACTTTTCTCAAATCATGATATATGTATGGCCACCTTGGATATTATCATAATTATCCCATCATGGAAGTGTTGAATTGCATGTATAACCGTGACTTCTTGTTTGGCACCATTTAGCCATTAAGGTCATTTGCAATGTTCAATGCAAGGAATTTTTTTTTTTTTTTTTTTTTTTTTTTGAGACGGAGTCTTGCTCTGTCACCAGGCTGGAGTGCAGTGGTGCAATCTCGGCTCACTGCAACCTCCACCTCCTGGGTTCAAGCGATTCTTCCGCCTCAGCCTCCTGAGTAGCTGGGACCACAGGCGCGTACCACCACGCCCAGCCAAATTTTTTTTTGTATTTTTAGTAGAGACGGGGTTTCACCATGTTGGCCAGGATGGTCTCGATCTCTTGACCTTGTGATCCACCCTCCTCGGCCTCCCAAAGTGCTGGGATTACAAGCGTGAGCCACCACGCCTGGCCGGAATTTTTTTTTTTTAACATTATTAAACAATAATATATTTCCTCTGTCTCCCTGTATGGGAGTAAAATAAATATAGAAGAAATAACTAAAAATTAATTTTGTTATAAGAAACATTTAATATTGTGGTATATTTATTTTCTGCATTTTTTTCTTTGCTTTTTTGTACTTTTTAAAACAAATTTGTATTAATATATATTGCATTTAATTATTTTTATGTGAACATAAGAATTAAATGTTTTAAACTGAATTATAAGATTGTTGTAAAAAAAGAGAGAGCAGCATTGTAATGGCTGTATAGTGTTCAACTGAGTGAATATGTTATTTTCCTCTGCTAGTGGTTTTATAGATTGAATCAAATTTTGAATACTTACAAGTAATTCATAATTTTTTCTCCAAATTTTAGATTATTTGAATTTCTTCATCAAACAAGTCTCAGATGGGCATTTATAACAAAGTACACAAAAAAGGGGTATATCACACCTACGGTTCAATTTACAAGTTATATTGTTGAAAAGTAACCACTACGGTTCAATTTACAAGTTATATTGTTGAAAAGATTATAGATAGGTCTTGTGGTACCAGCTACCTGAAAAGTTGTGGCAGGTGGATCACTTGAACCCAGAAGTTTGAGGCTATAGTGAGTTATGATTATGCCACTGCACTCCAGCCTGGCCAACAGAGTGAGACTCATCTCTCAAAAAAATATTATAGCATGTTCTTAAGAAAGTACATAATCAAAAAACAGGTACACACTCTCCTTTCAACCTATTCTTATAGTCAATTATTATAAGTGCAAAAAGTTACTTAATTTTATGAGATTTATAAGTTCTTTCTCATAAGGGCAAAATATCAGACTCATAAGCACCTAGAACAGTGCCTGCCATTGAGTAGTTGGTGAAAATTTATTAGATGAATAAACTTAACTGATTAAGATATCTTTTGCTCATTTCATTCTGGTCTTGCTATAGAATGCATTGAGAGAGTGGAGGGAAAATAGTGGAAATGGAATCCATGACCATTTTGTGGCTACCCTTCAGCAATGTGTTTGCTTGTCAAAGCAATAAGTAATAGAAATATTTAAAATTTTAGCTTTTTAATACTTGAGTGAAATTCAGCGAGCATTTATCTAATTGACAACATACTCAACTTACAGAGGAGAAAACAACCAGGGAGCTAATTATAGCCTCAGACTGACACAGAAAAGACCTAGAAGTATGGCCCGGGGCTTCCTCATTCTGCATTACATATTGCCATGCTTGCAATGGAACACACATATTTTAATAAAGTCAGTCTCCAAAACCCATAATTTTCCTACTTTATTGAACAAATGTAGAATTTTACTTTAATGAAAACATGTATCTAATTGAAGGTTGAAATTCAGCCAAGTTTTTCATTGTTAATAATTAGCAGCAGAGTTTGTGGGCGTTGGATTGGGTGTTTTCCCTCATTTTGTTGGCACAGTTATTACTAGGGTTTTTCTTGGGCTGACATGTTTTATTAACATCAGCAGAGCACTCAAGATTTTCACAGTCATTCATGGAACCACTAGATTCTAGACACTGAGATTAGTTGTTTAGGCTTTAGAAGTTAAATATTAAGAAAGGACGTTTCAAGAGAAAGGAGTGGCAAGGGAAACAAGTTTTCAGCAAAGAAAAACATGAGTAATTGATCTGCACAGCAACATTATGGGTGAGAACATCATTGTTCGTATTTATATTCAGTATTTCTGTTTGTAGGATGCTGTTCTTGAGTATGAGGGCAGCTGAATAGAATAATTTGAGACCTGTAGTCGTTTCTTTATCAGTTGGTATAACAGAATATTTATGTCAATGAAAATAGAAAGGAGAGGAAAGAAATTGAGAGCAGAAATCCAGAGGAGAAGTACATTAAATTCAAGCAGAGATGAAGAATGAGGACTTTGATTTGTGTTGTAATTCCATTCCTCCTGTATCCATAGCCATGGTTAGACAGGAATTTAATAGCAGGTTACAAGGACTGGTGGCAAGATCATGGGCGTGAGAACTTTGGAAACTTAGATTGTCATTCCAGGTCTACTGCTGTGTGACCTCAGCCAAATAAATTCACTGTGAAGACTTCAGACTGCTCTGAAGTCATCTTGAAAGTAAGAAGCTGATACTAGGTTAATAGGTCTCTTCTTCTATAACCTGGTATACAAATGACTTCCCAGAACTCAGGGTCAAAGACATATTCAGGGTCATTTAGGAAATAAAGAATGTCCTGACCAATTGCTGATGTCTATGAAAAGCAGCATGATTAGTGACTGTTCTTAGGTAATATGATTCTTTGACTACAAAGATTTCTATGTCGGACTCTATGGTAAAACCAAGAATATTCAGTTAAAGATGTTCATTTTTTTTTTCAATTGGTAATGAGTTCAAATTACTTTTGTGATTTTTAAATGATACATGAAATACATATAATGTTGATTGAGGAGGCATGTGGAGATAATTGGACTCAATCTTAAGAAATGTGTAAATTAAAAGATCAAAATGGGCAAAATTATACAAAGCAAGCATTTCTATTCACTGATCATATCATTGTGTTGAGACATTTAATCAGTATCTGAAAATCTCCAGAAGATACAAAATGGTGCACATAATCTTCTGACTGTTAGGGAAGATTTTCATGGGAATGACTTAGTTCAACATATTTCTAAGTCAATGATTTTCTCTCACCTTGACCTGTGAGCCTATGATTAGTAATTCATGATGTCAGTGTCATGAGTAATACTAACAAAGAGCACCTAATGAGTTTGCTCTATGCCAGAACCCATTCAAAAGTGGTTTCTACAACTCAGTTAATTTCTCACACAAACTTGATAAGTAGGTATTATTATTATTATTATCCTTATCTTACATATTAGTAGACTGAAGATCAGAGAAGTCATACAACTTACTCAAGGTCACATTGCATGTAGGCAGTGGACGTCTTACCCAGGATATTTCTCTACTGCTGATAGTGACAGAAATTACCATTTGGAGGTTCTCTTCCATAACACAGGCTCTGGCAGAAGCAGCCCACAAATGGCTTTTTTCATGGCTGTTTTACCCAGGGGATAACTGAGGCTTAGGGTGCCTAAGTAATGAGTCCACTATCACCCAACCAATAAGTCTTATGGCTGGTAATCTCCAGTTCCAAAAACCAAGGTGGATTCATTACTTAATGCAACTTTGGATGTCCCTTTTGTTAAAGTAATATGCCTATTGAAATATGAATCCAATTTATTACTTGGGTTTAGAGAAATGGCGGATTGCAGGAAGTCTGAACATGCATCTTGAGAAATCATGTGCCAAAGTCCTGCAGAAAGTCTGCACAGTGTGCAGGTCAAAGCTCAAATTTACTTACTTAGAGAGACATGTGAGGGTCACCCTGCTTTTTTTTTTTTTTTTTTTTTTTAATAATTTATTAAACTCAATATATCCGAAATGTCATTTCTTTTTTTTTTCTTTTTGAAATTTATTTATTATACTTTAAGCTCTGGGGTACATGTGCAGATCATGCAGTTTTGTTACATAGGTTTACACGTGCCATGGTGGCAGTTTGCTGCATTCATTGCCCCATCATCTACATTAGGTATTTCTTGTAATGCTATCCCTCCCCTATCCCCCAACCCACTGCTCTTCCTCCCCTAACCCCCACCCCCTAGACCCTGGTGTGTGATGTTTTTAAGGTACTTCCCAAACAGGCACTCTCCCATGGAACCCCACACACACATCTTCAGTTATTCTATTCACATTATTTTGTTTTATTGTCTTCAGAGCATTTGGCACTATTGACCTTGTCTTGTCTATGCTTTACCAGACACAGTTTCATGAGAACAGAGGTTGTTGATTTTATTCACCTCTGTATCTCCAGTACCTAGGACAGTATATGGGATACAAATTGTACTCCAAAACTTTAATTGAATGAATGATTTTTCTTATTCTTATAAATATCAATAGCATCAAGTTTTATTGACTGGTTTCCTATGTTCCTTGCTTAGTGGCAAGTACATATTTTATAAATTTATTTCTTACAATTAGCACACTTGGTCTTATTTTCATATCTATTTTGCAGATGTGGAAAATAAGGCATACTGAGGTCAAATTACTTGCATAATGACACAAACCTAGTAGTTAGGAGTCACAAGCCAATCTGTGTCTTTTCATCTGCTGAGACTATACTTTTACACCCAACACTCAACTCACCTGTGACTATAAAAAGTCCTGAACAGTTCTATCTTTTCATTGGTTGATTTTCCCAAGAAGTCGTTTATGTGGTTTCATTGCTAACTTTGTAGACAAGATTTAAATTCAATGAACACTTACTGAATGTAGTCATAGATTGTGTGGCAAGCATCACCAGTTCTGCTTTATGTGGGCAGAAAAGGAAGTTCAAATAAGTGATATTGGTATTGCTAGAAATTGGTAAGCCAGAATTTAAACCCAGGACTGTTGATTCCAAGTCTCTGGCTCAATCTGTAATAAATGGTGAAGACTTTTCTACAGAAGTAAAATAGCATTACCAGCCATGCATTTCCTAACCATTATTTTCAAACAGCATGTAGAGAGGAAGCATTACATCATGACAAACATTGTGATTCTTTTGTTAAGTGCTCTCTTGGGACAAATAATATGTGAACATAGATACTAGATCATTATGTAGTCCAAACCCACATGTGAGCTTATGTTCTCTGTTGTCAGAGATCTAGCTCACACAAAGAGGTGTTCTGACTGATTTTATTATAGTTTTCTTTCTTTTTCTTTCCTTTTTTTTTTTTTTTTTTTGACAGGACTCTTGCTCAGGCTGGAGTGCAGTGACTGAATCTCAGCTCACTGCAACCTCCGCCTTCCAGGTTTCAAGTGATTCTCCTGCCTCGGCCTCCTGAGTAGCTGAGATTACAGGTACCTGCCACCATGCCTGGCTAATTTTTGTATTTTTAGTGGAGACGGGGTTTCACCATGATGGCCAGGCTGGTCTTGAACTTCTGGCCTCAAGTGATCTGAGCACCTTGGCCTCCCAAAGTGCTGGGATTACAGGCATGAGCCACTGTGCCTGGCCTAGTTTCTCCAAAAGGAGGTTTTACATTTGCTTTTCAGTATCATGAAATGACAAGTGACAAATTTCAAGAGTGTTCATTGATTTTTCTTTCAGGATAAAGAATAATTTCGGGAGTAATTTAGAAATATCAAGGTAGATTTGTGCCCTTTTTAAAGTGCTTACATAGTTGATAAGCTAATAAACATACATTTGGACTTCTTCCATCTGAGAGAGAGAGAAGCTGCAGTTGATAGATATTTATTATAATACTTCAACTATTTTAAAACAAGCACTTAAACAGGCAAAGTCTAAAACCATCTAGAGATCTAAACATGCCAAATAGAACAAGGAGAAATGCATCTGTATTTCTTTAGGAATTGGGAAAGAAATAGAAGAATAAGGATCCATGTTTTTAGCTATAAAATATCAGTTGATATTTCTTTAGGGTGACTAAAACTTTTCACTTTTCAAGCAAATAGTCTGATTCTAAAAAAGGAGATGGGCTGATAAATTTTAAAATGTGTTGCTTAGCCTACGTTGTTTCAGAGGTGATAGAGTCATTTATAGTTTCTAATAAAATGTAAAGGAAAATGCAATTTATTGTATCAATTCAACCATAGCACAACAAAAGATCGTTACTGCTCTCTCAGCAACTATAGAAAATGTGAGAAACTAAATATATAAGACCATATCCAAGCTAGAACATCAGTTACTTACTTTTTTGAAACTCACATTAATGCCAAGTCTTTGGTGAATATGCAGAGAATGTTACCAATACTTTTATTAAAGATATTTGATTAACTCCAATTTTTTTCTTCCAGACATTTGACCAGTTAAGTGGCTTCTCTATCCATGATTGGGATAGAGAAGTCCATTAGTTATATCTAAATAAATATTTGGGTGCCCCTATGCCTCCATCCACAGAGTAATCAATTGATTGGTATGAGCAACAGCAAATAAACAAATTTAGAGCATCTTCCCTGCGATTAGGGACCATTGTTCCTGACTGTCATTAGCCCCAGGCCTTCATTTCCAGTTGCCCTGGGGAAAGGCTATCGGTTCCTTTGTGAGGCCCAGCACTGCTGCTTTTATGCATTAACAGATGCATAACTGAAACCTAATTTTATTTGTCCATTTGCTTAGGACTTGATAAATAACTAAATGAGTCATTCATTTAACTTAAAATTTTGCCAGAAACTTTACATTCATTATCTAATTTCCTTCTGCCAACAACCTTGAGAGGAGGCATCAGCCCCACCTTACAGATAAGAAAGCTGAGGTTGAGAAGGTGAACAAATAACTTCTGGCAGTGACAGACATTCATGCTTGACTCCAAAGCTTTTATTCTTTCCATGTTCTTTTTTTTTTTTTTTTTGAGACTGAGTCTTGCTTTGTCTCCCGGGCTGGAGTGCAATGGCGCCATCTCGGCTCACTGCAACCTCCGCCTCCTGGGTTCAAGTAACTCTCTTGCCTCAGGATCCTGGGTAACTGGGATTACAGGCACATACCACCATGCCTGGCTAGTTTTTGTATTTTCAGAAGAGATGGAGTTTCACCATGTTGGCCAGGGTGGTCTCAAAGTCCTGGCCTCAGGTGATCTACCCGCCTTGGCCTCCCGAAGTGCTGGGATTACAGGCATGAGCCACTGTGCCCAGCCACCCATGTGCTTTCAAAAGCATGTGGTTTTTTTTTTTTTTTTGGTTTGTTTGTTTGTTTGTTTTTGAGACAGAGTCTCTCTCTCTCACCCAGGCTGTCCAGCACAGTAGCACAACCTCAGCTTACTTCAATCTTTGCCTTCTGGGTTCAAGCGGTTCACCTGCCTCAGCCTCCTGAGTAGCTGGGATTACAGGCACCCACCACCACACCTAATTTTTGTACTTTTGGTAGAGATGGGGTTTTGCCATGTTGGCCAGGCTGGTCATGAACTCCCACCTCGGCCTCTGAAAGTGCTGAGATTATAGGCATAAACCACTGCGACCTGGCACAAAAGCACACATTTTTTATGTTAACTCTGTACAAGATAAAACTGTCCTAAATTTTATTCTTAAGTTTTTCAGAATTACATGTACAGTTTTGTATTTTTATCTTTATATGTTTTTTAGTGGTGTTTCTTCTGTTTAGTGTCTTCATCCCATCCTAGAGTTGAGAGTTTAGGGAAGCTTCTATTAGACATGTTAAAGAAATGATTATTAGAAGTGGGACAATTTAGAGTAATGAATGAGAGGCCAGACTTTCTGCTCTGGAAGACCTGGTCTGAGCCCTAGTTTCACTGCTTATGTATTGGGTTACTTTAGACAAATTTCTCATCCTCCCTAAGTGTGAATTTCCCATCTGAAAAACAGGAATAATGGCCATACCTCTTGCTCATGGTTATTTATACATTAATTCATTCAACAAATATATATTCATTTCTTATAATAAGCCAGGTACTCAGTAATAAATTAACCAAGTTGGCTGCCCTGAAACACTTTATATCCTAGCAAGGAAAGACAGACTAAAAAAGCAAATAAATAAACCTGGTCCAGTAGTGGTAACGGCTATATAGACAAATAAAGCAAGGTAGAGAGAGGTGAGTGTAGAATGGTGGTAGTTGGAGCAGAATAATTTTTTATAAGGAGAAGCTTCCATTACAGCGTGACAGTTGATCAGAGACCTGCAATAAATGTTATTGAGAGAATTAAGAAAAAATGATATAGAAAACCAAACTGAAGGTAGAATGATTTGTAAGATGCCTGCTGTGGAAAGATGCAAGCCCTCACTGTAGGCTTATTTTAAATCACTAGAATTTGAGCTCCTTAAGATAAGGGGATGCTTCTGTTTCATGTATTGCTCCATCACAAGCATGCACAATGTCCGTTAGATTCTCAGTACAAATAAGCTGTAGCTCTTGGAGTCTCTATCTATTTCTCTGTCTATTTCCAGTAGGATGAGGGAGTCAGTAGATGGAGAGAAGAAGCTGAGAGTTGAACAGGAACCTCTACAATAGTAGTCACCTACCCCACCTCATCAAAATGTCATCAGAGGTCTAGACCAGATGGCTTTTGAGCATGGGCTTGACTATGGTTTCCCAAAGGCATGATGCTTCAATAAGAAGTTTTCTTGACAGCAACTGTGAAATCGACAAACAATAGCACAGGTTATAGCTTGAGATTTGAAGACAATTCAGGGCTTCCCTACTAACCCAGTGAGGGGACATGGAGGAAAATACACAACAGGACATTTAATCTGCATGAGCTACCCATCCTGCTGCAACTCACACATTCCATTCTGATTTGCTGTTGGCTTACTGGAAATAACCTAGGCATATTTTTTTTACAGACCAGGAAGAGTTCCCTTTTCTTTTATTCATTCATTCAACT